AATGCGCGCATTTTTTGAACGAATAGTATACTATAGTACAGCCCGGCTGGCAGCCGAGCAATCGGAGACAAAATTTCCGGCTGTCAGCCGGCGTCAAACGCGCTAATCGGGTGGAACGACGCACGAACGTAGACCACCGGATATTTAAACCCGGGTTAATTTAATACCCCGGCATAATTTACCTGGGTTAGTTTACCGGGTATTGAATATCCGGTATACTACGAGGTAGAATACCGGGTTAATGTGCCCCCGGTATTCTGCCTCGGTTATCGGCATTATTACCTCAATACGGCAATACCTCCATAATTCACCCGGTTATCGAATATAAACTTTACTACATATCTGCGATGAGGTATTTGATTTGATGGCGTGGTTATCCCTGGCCTATGGTGAATCCCCTTTTTACCCCCCCCCCCTCTGGACTCCAGGGGACTATTCATTCAGGCGGGTTTATTACAGGTGGGGTGAGAGAGGAAAGCCCATAAACTCATGATATAATTTTGAGGAAAAAAACAAAAAGTTTACTGTTTATAAAAGTAGTTGTATAAACGTATTCATTTCCTTGACGTTTTGAACTTTCGTAATTATTTTCGTATCTAAGCTATTATTTAAGGCTACCTAAATGTTCAGTTTATTCCAGGTTAAACATCTGAAATGTCTTTGTCACATGCGATCCAACTTTTCCAAGTCTTTTTGTCGCAGCTGCAAATGCTTTTTCCAACAAATCGTCACAGTATTCTAAAATGGCAGAGGTTACACGTGATTAAACTAACTTTCAATATTCTTCCAGGACTGTCAGTGGCGTAACGCTCATTGGGTAGAGTTAATTCAAACCATGGATTGTAAAATAACCATTTAAATATTAAAAATAAAATCCATGTTCAAATATTATCCATGTTCAAACTAAGGGCCCACATCAGCCACGGCCCAGATACCTAATGCTAAATAATAAAGCCTCCAAAGACAACGGTAGCTGCGAGCGTCTGACAGGAAATTATAATCGTAAAACTATATACAGTAAAACCCAGCATATAAGAACCGAGAATTTAAGAACCTGTTTCATATTATTCTGACACTGCAATCGATCAACGAAAAATTTGTTGGCTCGAGCGGGATTTGAACTCGCATCTTCGGGTATCTAGACCGCCGCTCTACCCATTCAGCTATCGAGTCAACCGTCAACGGGGATTGGTAGCGAGTCTTATCCAATTTAAGTGCACGAAATATTTTCGTGACGACTAACGCTTGTCTTAGAGGACGCGCAGTGTTTCAATTCTATTTCAGAACCATCCTCAGAGATACGAAAAACCAGTTTCATATTATTTTGACACTGCAATCAGGCTAGAATTTCAAAACAGATTCTTATATTATCAAATAGATTAAGTCGGTATAGTGCATATACTGTCATTTTTTAGATCACTTGTATAATTTATATAAATCATATACCATACCTCCCTAAAATGAGTCGCTTTTCTCTTAAGAAAATAAGAACGTATTTAAGAACCTGTTTAACCTAATTTCCTGGTAAACACCATTTACATAAGAACTTGTTTAGGCTAACTTGGAAAATGTAGGTTCTTATATGCGAGGTTTTGCTGTATTGCAAGAACCGAACTCCCGAGGTGAACGATGCAGTATAACCACTGTGTATAACCATCACATCCTGCGCGAGACCAAACACTAACCTGCTGCAAGTATGGAAATTTCAGACAGAACTTTGGCTGCACTCATGACAATCTCAGGATCTGACGAACAAAGGCACTCCAAGTAGCCATCAATGATTAATTTTGAATCCCTAAAAAAAGTAATGTAGCTTTTTCACCACTTGCCTGTAAGGCACAAAGGATTGAAAACTTCATCACAGCAGTGTATTGTAGAATACTACTTGCACTGGACCACGTTTGAGATATCAGGTACACACGTAAAAATCTCGCAACTTGTCATCAAGATGTGTTCGCAACAGGCTTGTAGCAAGCTTGTCGATAAGTTGTAACAATGATGTTATTTTATCAAGTTGCTACAAGGTTGTCACTCACAACTTGTTGACAAGTTGTTGAATTGCAGGACGATAACAAGTTGTTGGAACAACTTGTAACAAGTCTGTTGAGATCAGCAACCTTGTAGCAAGTTGTCAATAGTCTAGGACCTGTATATGAGTTTGTATGCATTTCATTTAGGACAGATAATCTCAACTGTTTTAGGGCAAGTTGACCATGACGGTCAACATGGTAACGCTGCCCGAACCCCAATCCGGGACGAAACATCTGAAACTGACCACACCCAAAAACGACGCTTTCGCCATACTGCTATCTACCAAACCATAAAAGCTTTGGCTATTCTGAGGTGCTTATATGGTTCAGAGATGGTACTTTTGGGGTGGTCATTGGTAAGTGTGAAATGCCTAGCACTAATTTTTCACAAGAAAATGACCATGCAATAATCATAGTTAAACGTCAATTTGTGGCTTGCAACTTCAGATAAACAGCAGTGGACTTACATTACCTTTTTCCCTAAATCTTTTTTATAGAAACATAATTGGTACTTATTTAAATATATTATCACTGATTTGGTGTAAAATAGTTAATATTTTCTGATCGAAATAATAATTTGAATTGTGCCTACCTCCTGCAAATGGACGTATTTGGCCAAGTTCTCCACTTTACTCCGCTGTTTATCGGCGATCTCGTCGACATCCTACAAAAATGTAAATCATCTCAGACATAATGGTATCAAGAACATTTTAAACAAGTTTTAACTTGGTTTCAAGTAGATCATACCTGTTTAACCATCGACAAGGTAAATCCACAACTTTGTCCAAATTCGGCGCCATTTTGTCATCCCATGTCGGTTGTCAACAGTTCGGCCTTGTTACTCTTCCATTCACGCCATATCCATTGCACAAATAACAAATTTAACCCTTTGTTAAGGGTATTAAAATAAAAATACAAATGAAATATGCGAAATGCAGCATTTTATCACCCTGTAAGATCTTGCTCACGAGTCTTTCAAAACATTCCGTACAAATCTCGCGTGACAAAGTAACAGGGACGTGACAGGGGGGGGGTGAATTATTTCACGAAGATAGAAGAAGGCTGCGTGAAATAGACTAAAAGCTAAATACAATCATACAAATGTTTGTTTTATTTCTTGTAGCGACAAATATATAAATATTATTATTTATTAATATAAAAAAGTCATACAAATTAAATGTTAATTGTTGGTTTTACCATACTGTGTGGGCTTTCCTTTCATTTTTCAAGTCTCTACCCCCCCTGTCACGTCCCTGTTGCTAAACCACGCGAGATTTGTACGGAATGTTTTGAAAGACTCGTGAGCAAAATTTTACATGGTGATAAAATGGCGTATTTCTTATATTTTGTTTAGATTTTTTAGTTTCCTCCTGTTATAAAGGGTTAAATTTATTATTAGTGGAATGGAAATGGCTTGGATGGAAGAGTAACAAGGCTGAATTGTTGACAACCGACATGGGATGACAAAATGGCGCCGAATTTGGACAAAGTTGTGGATTTACCTTGTCGATGGTTAAACAGGTATGATCTACTTGAAACCAAGTTGAAACTTATTTAAAATGTTCTTGATACCATTATGTCTGAGATGATTTACATTTTTTGTAGGATGTCGACGAGATCGCCGATAAACAGCGGAGTAAAGTGGAGAACTTGGCCAAATACGTCCATTTGCAGGAGGTAGGCACATTTCAAATTATTATTTCGGTCAGAAAATATTAACTATTTTACACCAAACCAGTGATAATATATTTAAATAAGTACCAATTATGTTTCTATCAAAAAGATTTAGGGGAAAAGGTAATGTAAGTCCACTGCTGTTTATCTGAAGTTGCAAGCCACAAATTGACGTTTAACTATGATTATTGCATGGTCATTTTCTTGTGAAATATTAGTGCTAGGCATTTCACACTTACCAATGACCACCCCAAAAGTACCATCTCTGAACCATATAAGCACCTCAGAATAGCCAAAGCTTTTATGGTTTGGTAGATAGCAGTATGGCGAAAGCGTCGTTTTTGGGTGTGGTTAGTTTCGGACGTTTCGTCCCGGATTGGGGTTCGGGCAGCGTTACCATGTTGACCGTCATGGTCAACTTGCCCTAAAACAGTTGAGATTATCTGTCCTAAATGAAATGCATACAAACTCATATACAGGTCCTCGACTACAAGAAGCCGTTGACAAAATGTCAACAAACTGGGAACAAGCAGTGCGAACACATCCTGTTGACAAGTTATTGGAACAAAATTGCTACAACTCTGCTGCAATTTATTACAATTTGTGCGTTTTTTACGAGCATAGTTCAGACACAAACCACGGCAGTTTAATGTAGAATACTACCAACACTGGGAGTTTTCGAAGAAAACCTACCTTGGATTGTGTCTCAAATGCCTAGCTATCAAGACATGCGCATTATCCCTGCATGCTTCATTCACGTGCTTTGTTAGACGGACCAAGTCGTGCTATGAAAAGAATGATCAATATTATAAAGTTAGTTAGTTTAGGTTTCCTCCTGTAGTAACACTGGATCAATAAGAGATGATCCTTACTGGAACTCTAGGGACAACAGTTTAGAACTGATAGAGTTTTCCAATATAAATAAAGTTAGTTTAGTCTAGGTTTCCACTAAGGCTAACCCTTACTGGGCCCTCAGTCAAAACAGTTGAAGTAGGACAAAAATTTATTATGTTCTGACCAAGAAGAATTGTAGAATATCGACTCTTCTTTTGGATGTCTCATCAAGATCATTCAAAACTTTCAGGACTTCTAAAGAATTGAAGAATTACACAGTCTTAAGGTCATGTACCTTCTAACTCTATTCGGAAAGTTTAACCGTCCGTGCAATATACGGATGTCTGATTATAATTCCTCCCTCAGTCAAATGCGAGAAGAGTGCTTCTAGTTTGACTCTACACACGCAAATTGTAGTAAGTCTGCCAACAAACTGTTAACAATTTGTAACAACCTTGTTGATATTATCAGGCTTGTTACAAGGTTGTTCCAACAAGTCGGATACAGTCGTGATATAACAGTATTGTTACAACCTTTTGTCGTCAACCTTGTAACATTCTTGTTATATCATGACTGTATCAGACTTGTTAGAACAACCCTGTAACAAGTCTGATAATGCCATCAAGCTGTTAACAGCTTGTTCCAAACTTGTTACAACTGGGAACAAGCAGTGCGAACACAACTTGTTGACGGCTTGTTGGCAGACTTGGTACACACGTAAAAACGCACAAGTTGTTACAAGTCTGCAAACAAGTTGTTACAAACCTGTTCACAAGCTGTCGACAAGTTGTCTTCGCACTGCTTGTTCCCAGTTGTTGTAACAAGTTTGAAACAAGCTGTTGACAACTTGTAACAAGCTTGATGGCATTATCAGCCTTGTTACAAGCTTGTTCTAACAAGTCTGATACAGTAATGATATAACAAGAATGTCACAAGGTTGTAACAAAACTGTTATATTACGACTGTATTGACTTCTTGGAACAGCCCTGCAACAAGTCAGATAATACTTGTTCCGAACTTGTTGACAACTTGAGACAAGCAGTGCGAACACAACTTGTTGACGGCTTGTTGGCAAACTTGCTACAAGATGTGAGATTTTTACGTGTGTATCGCACATATCACACGTGGAAGCCTCGTGCTTAGCATACACACGCAAAAATCCCACATGTTGTACACACGTAAAAACGCACAAGTTTGTTACAAGTCTGTTCACAAGCTGTTAACAAGATGTATTCACACTGCTTGTCACAGGTCACGAAATTATCAGAGTTGTTGCAAGGTTGTTCTGATAAGTCTGTGACATGCTTGATATAACAAGATTGTTACAACCTTGTGTTGACAACCTTGTAACATCCTTGTTATATCATGCCTGTTACAAACTTGTTAGCACAATCTTGTAACAAGGCTGATAATGCCATCAAGCTTGTTACAAGTTGTTAACAGCTTGTTTCAAACTTGTTACAACAAACTTGTGCGTTTTTACGTGTGTAGACACGCAAAAATCTCACATCTTGTAACAAGTTTGTCAACAAGCCGTCAACAAGTTGTGTTCGCACTGCTTGTCCCAAGTTGTCAACAAGTTTGGAACAAGCTGTTAACAACTTGTTACAATCTTGTTGATATTATCGAACTTGTTGCAAGGTTATTCCAACAAGTCCGATCGGACATTGTTACAACCTTGTGTCGTCAACCTTGTGACATTCTTGTTATATCATGACTGTATCAGACTTGTTAGAACAACCTTGTGACAAGTCTGATAAAACCATCAAGCTTGTTACAAGTTGTTAACAGCGTGTTCCAAACTTGTTACAACAACTGGGAACAAGCAGTGCGAACACAACTTGTCGACAGCTTGTGAACAGATTTGTAACAACTTGTGTGTTCTTACGTGTGTTCTCCGTTTTCTGTTGTAGTATTAACGCTTTTAAAAAAATATACCCTGGTTTTAACATACCGCTGACAGGTTGACTCGGCCCAATCCTCTGTAAGAACGGCTCGATCTGACTCGGGGTCCATGGCGTAGTTACCGGCGCCATCATGAGCGAAGGACTGGGCGCGGCTTTATCCGGAGACGAGCCCACAGTGTTTGCGGACGTTTCGGAATCCACGCGGTTCAAAGTCCTGGGTACTGAGAGAACTGCCAACAATGACTTTAAAGATGATAATTCGGAATGATCAAATAATAAATCCCTGAAAATAAGAACAAAATTCAAAACTTTACAAAAATTACTATGAAAAGAATCTCCTGATGAATGTTACTGGATTTCTAGGGAGAACAATTTAGAACTGATAAAGCTATCCAGTATAAATAAATTTAGTTTAGGTTTCCTCCTGTAGTAACACTTGATCAATAAGAGATGATCCTTACTGGACCTCTAGGGAGAACAATTTAGAACTGATAGAGCTATCCAGTATAAGTAAAATTAGTTTAGTTTAGGTTTCCTCCTGTAGGAGAACAATTTAGAACTGATAGAGCTATCCAGTATAAGTAAAATTAGTTTAGTTTAGGTTTCCTCCTGTAGTAACACTGGATCAACAAGAGATGACTCTTACTGGACCTCTAGGGAGAACAATTTAGAACTGATAAAGCTATCCAGTATACAGTAAGTAAAGTTAGTTTAGTTTAGTTTATCTTTTCACAGGAAGTTTTATTCCACACAGACGCAAATTTATAAAATACAATACACTCTTACTCGAGCACTTCAACTTTAGTTTGAAGATAGCTCAACGCTCCTGTTGGATTGTGGGTAAGATAATGTTGAAGGAATTCGACGAGCTTAGCGACCACGCCTGTTCGTTCTTTCTGCTTGATGCACTGTGACTGTAAAATACAATTCATTTATCTTGAAATCCTTTGGACATTTTCTTATCAGGCTAAAACGAACGTTTTGTATACCTGCACTAAATCAAGGAAGCTGTCAAGAGCATCATTGAGGCCATCTTGAATGAACTGAAGACAAAATGAATATATACTTAGGGCCTGTTCATAGGAGTTGAGAAAACTCTTATGCAGGGCTTGAATTTTATCGCGGCAATTGCCGAAGAGGAAGAACAAAATGCCGTGGATCATTGCGGCAACGACGACAATTTTTTGCCGTATAGTGCAATGTTTATACTATATTCACTGTGCATTACTATTTTGATACTTGAAATCATGCGTAAATCACTATTTTAGTCTCAGTTTTCGTCGAAAAAAAACACTAAAGACATACGCAGACATGTTTCTAGCTTGTCAAAAATCCAAAGTAACAATAAGTTTTATTACAGTAATTTGAAAAATGCCGTGGAAACTTCAACTGTCAAAATTGCCGTAGACAGCTGTTTTAGACAATTTTTAACGCCATTGCCGTCGATTGATTTCAGGGAAATTTGAGGCCTGCTCTCATGCAAACTCGTGCTTGCCAACTCTCATCAGCACTTAATATCTCGTCTTTAGTTTCAGTTTCAGCAAAAGATTAACTTGCCAACATTATGTGCATATGTATTTTATACGTCAAAGGACTCACCTTTATTGAGTCGAAGATATAAGGACGCAAACAGTCCAGTAATCCCAAGATGTGTGTAAAGAACAAGAAATGATTCTGATTGTAGAACTCTTTTGATGTTAAATGTGTTCGGCCGCGCGTCAACGATGCAATCACAGGCAAATATCTAGACGAAAAATATAATATGAAAGTAATTTGTAATAATTATCTCTTCGAAGAATTGTAATTTTTACTCATTATTTCTTTTTGGTAATTTTAGTAATAGTTGTCTAAAATTTCACTTCGGTCAAAAAAATTTTTTAACCTTAACGTTACGCTTACCTTAGAATATGAGCGGGATGACAAGCGGCCATTTTTTTACAGAGAAGAACGACTCCATCAATACGGTCTTCCCAAGTCTTTCCAGACTGACAGTCACTCAATATGGAGATCATGCGGTGAAAGAAACCGTCGAACTACAAGAGAAAAACGTTTTACATTTGCATAATAGTTTTAAACGGATAATTGACGTTCAAAAGATCAATTATAGAGCTATCCAGTATAAACAAAGTTAGTGTAGTTTAGGTTTGCTACTGTAGTATCCAGTATAAATAAAGTTACTCTAGTTTAGGTTTCCTCCTGTAGTAACACTGGACCAATATGAGATAACTCTTAATGGACCTCTAGAGAGAACAGCTTAGAACTGATATGGCTATCTTGCAGTATAAATAAAGTTAGCTCAGTCATAGTTTACTTTAGATTTTCTCCTGTAGTTAGACTAGATCAATCAGGGATGACACTTACTGGCCCTCTAGGAAGAACAATTTAAAACTGAGAAAGATATTCTAACCTTGCTATACTTTGCCTTCGCTGTCGACTTCAAATCAACAAGGGAATCGGTGTCTGTTATCCAGGATGAAAGTTCCGGTAGATAGAGATAAAGCTTGATAAGAAACTGCTGAAGAAGATCTTTAGACCAGCTGGAAATATAGAAATAGAGTCAGATTACGGACTGCCCTTACTGGATCTGTGGGAGGAACAGTTTAGAACTGATAGAGCGATCCAGTATAAATACAGTTAGTTTATAGTTCAGGTTTCCTCCTGTAGTAACACTGGATCAATGATCCTTACTGGGCCTCTAGGGAGAACAGTTTAGAATTGATAGAGCTATCCAGTATAAATAACGTTAGTTTAGTTCAGGTTTCCTCCTGTAGTAACACTGGATCAATAAGAGAGATCCTTACTGGGTCTCCAGGAAGAACAGTTTAGAACTGATAGAGCTATCCAGTATAAATAAAGTTAGTTTTGTTTAGATTTCCTCCGGTAGTAACACTGGATCAATAAGAGATATCCTTACTGGGCCTCTAGGGAGAACAGTTTAAAACTGATAGAGCTATCTAGTATAAAAAAAGTTTGTTTAGTTCAGGTTTCCTCCTGTAGTAAAACCGGATCATTAAGAGATGATCCTTACTGGATCTCTAGGAGGAACAGTTTAGAACTGATAAAGCTATCCAGTATAAAAAAGTTAGTTTAGTTCAGGTTTCCTCCTGTAGTAACACTGGATCAATAAGAGATGATCCTTACCAGAACTCGAGGGAGAACAGTTTAGAACTGATTGTCCAATAATGTCGAAACAATCCAAGTCGTAAAATTTGGTAAATTTGGTTTACGATTCGAAAACTAGTTTTGCGGATCGAGAATTGAACATGTATGAGTGATAGAGCTATCTGGTATAAATAAAGTTAATTTAGATTTATCAACGAGATTCATACCTTTTGTCAGATTGCAAGAGTTCAATGACGGGACGGAGATTTTGTTCATTTCCTTTAGAACAGCGCAACAGAAGAGAAACTCTGCTTTCAAAAAGTTCATCCATTTCAACGCGACTTTTATCGCCTGAAGAATAAAAACAAATTAGATATAAAACTATTCAAATTATTTTGCCGTAGTTAGCCACTTGTATTTTTCTGTTTAGAGTACAACTAACCACATATCAACTTCGTATCCAGGGTCTTTTCTCTTGGGGTGAAAAGACGGTAGACGCTGGTCACGTGATCTGCTAAAATCTAGCAGATTTCTAATTAACTATCTTGGATTCCTTTAGGACAATCATACAAAATGCCAATTATAAATTGAACTATAAAAATCATCCAAATATCAAATATTTTTGTTGACCTTATCTTGGATTGAAAATCGGCTAGATTTTAGCAGGTCACGTGACCAGCGTCTACCAGGGTCCCCAAGAGGTTTCTCCCCAAGAAGTTTCTCCCCAAGAAGTTGCTCCCCAAGAGGAAAGACCCTGGGGACGAGGTTGACCACAAATAAGATTTTTGCCACGTGTGATATTTGGGTCATTCAAAAAATGCATCTAATGTCATCATATTGACATATTCGTCAATCTTATACCCTATATACTGTGTACATATTATGTACAAAGTTTTAAGGGTACTATCCCTAAATATCATCTTTTGCATGTGCAATATTTGGGTCATTCCAAGAAGAAATGCAATATATATTTATAGTAAAAGACCTCATCTTAATCAACTTTCTCATTGTCACAATTTCCCGATATGATGAAATTGATGAATTTTTAAAAGGAGAAAACAAGAAAAGTAATTTGCAATTCATTTTAATATTACATTATAATACTGCAGACAATTATACCATCATATTTCCCTGCTTCACGTTCGGCCTCCATCAAAATATACATAACCAAACAGCAAAGCTGTTCAGTTGACAAACTCAATATATCTCCTTCAGTGTGATCTGTGTAGAAACTCGTCTCAATCCCACGCGCGGACTTTGTGTCCCGTCCTTGCCACAACTGTGGAATGTTCAAACAACTTTCGACAAACCCTAAGGCAGCCGTTGCGTCAACCCTGGAACACACAGAGTAAAATTTGAGCCTTGGTAACAGTATTTCTCAAACGTGGTGGTTCAGTGTAGGTAGTATTCTACAATAAGCTACTGTGGTTTGTGTCTGAACTACCTGAAAAAGATATCTCAAACGTGGTGGTCCAGTGTAGGTAGTATTCTACAATAAGCTGCCGTGGTTTGTGTCTGAACTATACCTGAAAAAGATATCTCAAACGTGGTGGTCCAGTGTAGGTAGTATTCTACAATAAGCTGTCGTGGTTTTTGTCTGAACTGCCTGAAGAAGATATCTCAAACGCGGTGGTCCAGTGTAGGTATTATTCTACAATAGCTAGCTGTTGTGGCTTGTGTCTGAATTACATGAAAAAAGGTTTAAATTGAAGACTTTTGAAAGCAAGGCATATTGTCTACAAACGTTGTGATGTTTTTAATCTCTCTCATGTACTTCAGACACAAACTATGACAGCTGTGAAGTAATGAGTTACCTTGTACTTTCCTTGGTCTGACTAAGCAACCAATCAAGTGTATCCTGCAAGTGACCCCAACTGCCACTATGTATGAGCAATACTAACAACAATAGTCCTTGAGACACACCAGTACCCTGACTTATCCCCATGTTTCCACCACCATCACCAAACAACAACTCTCTTTGTTTCAACGGACAAATGTTCACAATGGCTGGGTCAAGGATTGGTAACCAATCCAAAATGGCGCCATTTCCGGCACGTGACTTGCCACCCAAGTGATTTTGTAATAAGCCAATCAGGTCTTGAATAAACTGACACGTGTCGGAAGGCAGGGAAGTGTTTGGATTACTGGGGATAAGAAGGGTGATTAAGGAACGAAGAAATTCGTCGACGAAATGCGATCGCGAAGACAATAACCATGACAGCACTGGATAAATTAATGAAATAAGATAGTTAGTACATCAGTCTTTTACCTCTTTGACCAGATCAATAAGAAAAGATCCTTACTGGATCTCTAGGAATAACAGTTTAAATAAAGTTAGTTTAGTTTAGGTTTCCTCCTGTAGTAACACTGAATCAATAAGAGATGATCCTTACTGGACCTCTAGGGAGAACAGTTTAGAACTGATAGAGCTACCAAGTATAAATAAAGTTAGTTTAGTTTAGGTTTCCTCCTGTAGTAACACTGGATCAATAAGATATGATCCTTACTAGACCTCTAGGAATAACAGTTTAAAACTGATAGAGCTATCAAGTATAAATAAAGTTACAGTAGTTTCGTTTAGGTTTCCTCCTGTAGTAACACTGGATCAATAAGATATGATCCTTACTAGACCTCTAGGAATAACAGTTTAAAACTGATAGAGCTATCAAGTATAAATAAAGTTACAGTAGTTTCGTTTAGGTTTCCTCCTGTAGTAACACTGGATCAATAAGATATGATCCTTACTAGACCTCTAGGAATAACAGTTTAAAACTGATAGAGCTATCAAGTATAAATAAAGTTACAGTAGTTTCGTTTAGGTTTCCTCCTGTAGTAACACTGGATCAATAAGATATGATCCTTACTAGACCTCTAGGAATAACAGTTTAAAACTGATAGAGCTATCAAGTATAAATAAAGTTACAGTAGTTTCGTTTAGGTTTCCTCCTGTAGTAACACTGGATCAATAAGATATGATCCTTACTAGACCTCTAGGAATAACAGTTTAAAACTGATAGAGCTATCAAGTATAAATAAAGTTACAGTAGTTTCGTTTAGGTTTCCTCCTGTAGTAACACTGGATCAATAAGATATGATCCTTACTAGACCTCTAGGAATAACAGTTTAAAACTGATAGAGCTATCAAGTATAAATAAAGTTACAGTAGTTTCGTTTAGGTTTCCTCCTGTAGTAACACTGGATCAATAAGATATGATCCTTACTAGACCTCTAGGAATAACAGTTTAAAACTGATAGAGCTATCAAGTATAAATAAAGTTACAGTAGTTTAGTTTAGGTTTCCTCCTGTAGTAACACTGGATCAATAAGATATGATCCTTACTAGACCTCTAGGAACAACAGTTTAAAACTGATAGAGCTATCAAGTATAAATAAAGTTACAGTAGTTTAGTTTAGGTTTCCTCCTGTAGTAACACTGGATCAATAAGATCTGATCCTTACTAGATCTCTAGGAAGAACAGTTTAGAACTGATAGAGCTATCCAGTATAAATAAAGTTAGTTTAGATAGTAAATGAGAACACTACAAGCATACGTACCTGGTATTAATTCTCTCAGACGAATATTCTCGTTCTTATATTTCTTCAGAGCAGTTATAATATCCTTAATTTCTTTATCAGAGAGTGAACTTCCCGATTCAACTCTCTTGACTCCATTACGTATTGCATCACTGGTAACTAAACATTATTAAATACAGCAAGGTTTGTCCGTTTGGCTGTTGTACTATAAGCTGTAAACATTCGGTAAAATTGTCCTAGCCACAGTAATGTTGGAGACACAGGAGTTAGTGCATGTGCCAATATGCATTTGTCTGATTATAATTTCCCTTCAGTTACATTGAAGAAGAGTGTTTACAGTTTGACCAAAAATCGTAGCTTTTCTTCGGGTACTAGTGGTTCCACAATGGAAGACCTGGACCTCTAGAAAGAACAGTTTAGAAATGATAAAGCTATCCAGTATATAGAAAAAGTTAGTTTAGTTTATAAGGTTTCCTCCTGTAGTAACAATGGAACAATAAGAGATGATCCTTACTGGACCTCTAGGAAGAACAATTTAGAACTGATAGACTATCCAGTATAAACAAAGTTAGTTTAGGTTTCCTCCTGTAGTAACACTGGATCAATAAGAGATCATCCTTACTGCATGGATCTCTAGGAAGAACAGTTTAGAACTGATAGAGCTATCCAGTATGAATAAAGTTAGTTTAGTTTAGGTTTCCTCCTGTAGTATAACACTGGTGCAATAAGGTATTATTAATCCCTTATTGGACCTCTAGAGAGAACAATTTAGAAATGAAAGAGCTAACCAGTATAAATAATAAAGTTAGTTAATTCAGGTTAAAAATACGAACCTTCATTGACCACTCTACGGTGTCTTGATCTTGATTCAAGATTATATTTTGTTATGAGAGACGCCACTGGACCACCTAACATCAATAATTATGAAGCATTATTAGACCAAACAACGAATTTAAACCCTTTCACTACAAAATTGATGTGTCGAATATGATCAACCAAGCTGAAACCAACGAAATTTCTAACAAACAATTGATCCAGTAATTGATTCAATATTAAAAACCTTACCTTTACTATGTCGTGAAAGTAAATCGATTACATGAAGAAATGATGAATTATCTCCTTGCTTTTCTAAGATGGTCTAGAGAAATAAACAAATAAGTTATATTCCCAAACTTTATAATAAACACATGAGCAAGCCTCTGTGGTTTCTTTTTCACGTGGTTCACACTTATTTTTCTTATTGTATTAATGAAAATCTTACCTCTCTTGATATCAAAATTCTCAGCAAAGGATGAGCGAATCTTGGCGAGTTCATAAAAACGCTACTAAATGAAGTACCATCTTTTGACTCAAGAATCTAAACAAGAAGGTACGACGTATTAAAGGAGCTTAAGGTGGCTCGATACAGTTTTCAAAAATTCAGGTGTTCAACACTTTGAAATGTTCAAACTATGCATTTTTAGAATATATTCAGCAGATATTGGGTTTTTTAAATATTTCGATATCTCTACTTTCAAATTATATTAGTTTTAGTAACAGATAGTTCGTTGCTATGACGACATACGTGTACAAAATACACTCCAAAATGGCCTTTCGTCTCGTATAGTTGGAAAAGAAGCATGGTGACCCCCAATTTTTTTTCTTGCATTATTGTACTTGGACGAAAAGCTAACAATTAGCAAAATATAAAAAAATTCTGTAATGCCATTTTTTTGGAAAATGCGAAAATGTCATATTCTTCGGTAAAATTTTTTGGCATTACAGAATTTTTTTATTTTTTGTATAATGAAAGTTTTTAGCGGTGCAATACAGCATGCAAAATTTGAACATAGGTCACCAGACAAAATAAAGAGATATAGCGCATTGTTTTTCTAAAATGGAAAATTCTAATGACGTCAGCAATTGACATAAAACGCTATATAGAACACGCGAAATGACGTGAGATGGCGCGAGCAGCTGCTCACGTCAGGTCATTTTGGAAGTTCTGTCATTTTGTTAATCAGTTTCCGCGACCTGCGCGTAAAAATGGTCACCCGGTTTTGAGTTCGCGATTCTTGAGCAGGGCTTTCGTGATAACTATATCGAGCCACCTTAAGGATATTTTTTTTCGGAAAATAGACAATAACAAAAATATTGAAAAATGAATAATGAAAAAAACCCGCATCAGATTTTTTAAATTCTCGGACGGTAAACAGAATCTACAGTTCCATTGAGCTTAAAAAATGTTCATGTTCTTCCTCGCCGTATGCCACCGTATGCCACCGTATGCCACCGTCTGCCACCGTAATTTGTGATTTAACTGGAGAGTAAAGACGTGATATTTCCATGGCTGTACGTTTGGGAAGAAAGTAAGTGTTATTTTCTTACGTTTTGAACGATTTCCATGCCGTAAAAGAACATCAGTGGAACCATCAGTGGTGAAGGCCACAAAGATGGATTGTCCTTTGTCAGTCTTGTTCGACAAATAGACACTGGCGTAAAATCTGGAAACAAGGAAACTGAAATAATTGAAGCAGTGATGCGTGCAGTGAGCCCTAGTTTAAAATTGCACTCACACCTAGAAATGATGAGTGGGTTGTCCTTGTCCCGTTTGAAGCAAATTTTAAGGGCACATTTCAAGGAAAAGTCTGCAACAGAAATTTACCAGGAACTTACACAAATGTGCTAAGGTCCCAAAGAATCTGCTCAAGATTTCCTGATCAGAGCAATGAATTTACGCCAACAAGTCATATTCTTATCACAAACAGTAAATAGCATCTTCATTTTGCTTATATTTTACAGAAAAGGGACTTTGGCTCGGGGGGGGGGGCAAAATGGTTGAGTGGGGGGGGGGCAGCAAGGGGGCTGGGTGGCTTTACCCCACCCCCCC